GGGAAACCGGTCGACCCCAGCCGGCTGGAAAGTAAAGACTCTGCTTGATTTTTACATCTCCAATCCCGTGTATTTGTTATCTGGAGGGGACCCATCGAGTCACGGACCCTAACAATATGTTCTCCCTCATATGTGGATCCTAGCACAAAATCCTTATGAGTATGAATCCAGACATAACTACAGGAACCAGGATAATGAAAAGGAACCAGGGAGGTAAAGGGAAAAGAAAAACCTGAGAGAGAACAGTAGGAAACAGGTGTTAGTAAGGGAGATATGGATAAAAATGGGGCTATTTGAATGGGAGGGGGGAAGAAGAGTTATTAAAGGAAACGGGGATAAAGGGAAAGAAGGAGCTCAAGAGAGGTGGGACCATAGGAGAAGGGTATTATCAAGGGAGAAATGGGGAAAATTGGGACAATTTCAATGAAACCATGGCAGAAGGGTTAGACAGTGAGAGAGAGGAGAGATAATGCCTAGATAGATCTTAGAGAAAACTCCAAGACTGTCACATTGCTAGACTAATGTGATTTCTTACTATGTGTAAAATATGTATCCTTATATTTACACACAAATATCCCAGCTGACACTCATCAAAGAAGCTCATTTTGCATCAGTCAGAAACTATTACCAAGTAGCTGGTCACACACGGACATTGTCTATGAATTCTCAGGCTGAAGTGACACATCTGTGATGCAACCTCTACACCTAAGGCTCATGGAACATAGAACAGGGATACAGAAGAGGACACTAAGGAATCAGCTCTCAATAATGAAGCTCCTCATGCAGCGGAGGGCCAGGAACACAAAAGGTCACAAATGGCCACAGTGTAGGGATCAAGAGTCTGCTAAATAATGGTCCTTGGACAGGACCCCTTTATTAAACTTTACCCACCCAGGGCTCAGGGACCATCAAGGAAGAGGAGGCAGAAAGATTGTAAGAGCCAGGGAGGAGGTGCATGGCCATATGGAAACAGAGCCCTACAAGCTCCTGGGAACCTGCTCATATGATTCTATGGCAATGGTGTCAGCATACACAAGTCCCATTCAAACTCAGGCAGACAATAACCCAGCATAGAACTGGGAAAATGAACAGCAGACCCCAATCTTATCTGAAGGAATGTTGGCAACTGATTGATGCTAGATGAAGAAGAGCTGATCTTCCTAAAACAAGGGACTCTAGATAGGCTGACTAGTCTCAGTGGACAGGACTTGCATTGGGGAATGGCTGGGGGCACTGACAACACAGTGGATCTTAAGAGGGGTGACAGAGTATATGGGCTTCAGTTGGGGAGGCTAAGGAAGGGTGTCAGTGGGGGTGGGGGTATAAAGATGACCAAGATTGTTTGAGATGTTCTGTATGAAATACTTTGTAAATTCAGTCTTCCCAAAGCAATTTATTCCTTATAAATTGCTTTATCCTATGAAAAAAAATTTTTTAATAAAATAAAATTGCACTTCAAAGGAAAATTTACTTCTTCAGGACAGAACTCTGAACTCTGCCCTCTAGAACTCTGCTCAAGTAAGAAGTGAGAATGGCCCAGGAAGAAGGCCAGGAACTCCTCTGAGGGCTATAAAGAGCCCGTTCCCCTCAATGGGGAGCTTCTCCTGCTCTGAGAATTCACCCACTGTGTTTCTGTCCACAGTGTCTCTTCTTGTTTACGGGATTTTCATTTTGTTTTGTTTTTGTTTTTAGACAGAGTATCTAGCCCAGACTGGCCTCAAATTCTCTATGTAACTGATGATGACCTTGAATTTCTGACCCTCCTGTGCCTCTACCTCTGAAGCTGGGCTTGTAGGCATACACCAGCACACTTGGTTTATTCCATGCTACAGATCAAACTAGGGCCTCACTAGGCAAGCACTCCACCAACTGAGTTGCATCACAAGCCCCCAAATGAAGATTTGTGGGGTGTGTGTATGTGTATGTGTGTATGTGTAGATACTGGAGATCAAACCTAAAGCTCTCTGTATGTTAGGCAAGTATCCCACTCTGAGCTGTTCCCCAGGGTATTATTTTTATTTTTCAGCCCTAATTTTTTTTGAGACAACGTTTCCCTATAGCCTCAGATGGCTTGGAACTCACTATTTAGACCAGGCTGACCTTGATCTCACAGAGATCTACCTGCCTTTGCCTCTGCTAGGACTAAAGATATGAACCACTACACTTGGCATCTTTTTTTTTTTTTTTTTTATTCTTTGTGTGTCTGTGTGTATGCAATGTTTGTATGTGCATGAACATGCATTATGCCATGGCACATGAGTGGAGGCCAGAGGACTACCATGAGTGCTAATCTCTCCTGCTTTGCTTTGAGGCAGGGTCTTTCTTGTTTCTGCCCCTATGTAGCTAGCTGGCCTGCAAGCCTCCTGGGGTTCTGCTGTCTGTCTCACAGAACCTTAAGACCACTGGGATTTACAGATGCTGTGCTACAGTGTCTGGTATTTATATGGGTTCTGGGGATTTGAACTCAGGTCCTCATGCCTGCATGGCAAGTTTATCCATTCCTCAGCCCCTCAGCCCTACTCTGTATTAAAACTTTTTTTTTTTTGACTTTTTGAGACAGGGTCTCCCCGTAGCCCTAGCTGACAAAACTTTTATATTAGGGCTGGAGAGATGGCTCAGCAGTTAAGAACATTGGTTGTTCTTGCAGAAGACCTGGGTTCAAATCCCAGAACCCACATGGCAGCTAACAACTGTCTATAACACCAGTCCCAGGGGATCCGACAGCATCTTCTGACCTCCGCTGGCATTGCATGACACAGGTGCACTTACCTACATACAGGCAATACATGCATACACATAAAATAAAAAAAAAAAATAAGGGGCTGGAGAGATGGCTCAGTGGTTAAAAGCACTGACTACCCTTGCAGAGGGCCCAGGTTCGATTCTCAGCACCCACATGGCGGCTGCAAACTTTCCTTAACTCCAGTTCCAGGGGAATCTGAAACCCTCTTCTGACCTCCACAGCATTGCACAACATGGTGAACTAACATACATGCAGGCAATACACTCATACACATAAAGTAAAAATAATAAAATATTAAAATGGAAGTAAAATTTTAAAAAAGCTTTTATATTAATTCTGGCCTTTTACCCTACACACCTTCAGGTTGTAAATTAAAGTTCCCAGAAAAAAAAATAATTGCATCTTCAAACTGAACTTTCTGTAAAAGCAGGTCAGCTGACTGGAACATCAGTGACTGTAGAAAGTTTGTAAATGTTGTAGATCCAGAGCCTAGTTACCATTTATATTGGGCCATCTTTAGCCCCTAAATAGCCATTCCTTGCCCACCTCTGTTTCTGACTTAACATTCTGTGACTAACAGATAAAAATCTTTTGGAATGTATTAACTTAATAAAACCCTAGCTCCTACCAACCAAATGGCTGAATGTCATCAAATAGCATCTAAAGCCTATAGCAGAACCCTCCCCACTTTGCTATACCCTGCCTCTCTGGTGTCTCCACTAATATATTTGAAAAATGTCTTGACTTACGGCTTTCTTTGTTCTGTTACTACAAAAACTTCATGACACTGTTACCACATTGGAACATGGAATATGGGGTAACCTGAATCTGTGTTCCTGGACCATGGTCACTCAGATTTTGTTCCAGAATGTACTATCTCTTATTCCTTTGAGATGAGAGTTGTATTTTTGCATCCTGGCACAAGACGGTTTGGTTGGCTTTAGAGTGATTGTGGATCCAGGAATATTTTAGTACTGACATTCCTGGAGGAGTTACATTTGTCCCCAGGATTCAGCATGGCTATCAGACTTGCAGTTACCATAAAATATTGCAGTTGTCAGGGTGAAGGAGGGGTGAGCCAGGACGCTGAGCCTTTTCATTCTTCCTAGAAGACATGGGCTGCACTTTCACTTATATCTCAAACTCTGTGGCAATTTTCATACTTTTTTATGTTAAAGTTTAACTCTTTGAATAGGTTCAAAACTTTATTTTTAGGCCAGGCATGGTGACACATGCCTTTAATCCCAGCAGAGGAAAAGGCAGGCAGATCTCCTGGAGTTCAAGGTCAGCATGGTCTACATAGGCAGTTCTAGGCCAGCCTGGGCTACACAGTGAGACCCTGTCTCAAAAAACCAAAAACCAAACAAACAAAACTTTGTCTTTACTTAGCTCAAAAAATTTAAAAGCTCTGAGAAAATGTACAGTGAGAAGTCCCCCATCCGCTCTCCTGCTTTCCACAGGTCCTGGCAGAGCCTCACACACATATGCAGGATACAGGCGCTTACTTCATCCTGTCCCTCTGTAGCCTAGATGGTAGCACACTGTCCTGCACCTTGCCCTCTGCTTTCGTTTTAGGATTTTTTTCTTTTCACTTTGTGTCTTAGAGATAGATCTCCATTAGTCAGAGAGCGTACTTTCATTTTTTTTTGCATGGAATTTTAATATATGCATATAAGCAAATCAAATATTGCTATGGCAGGTGTGGGGATTGGGGGTCTGTTGGAGTAAAAGAGGCTTTCTGCTCAGAGGGGGAGAACCAGGATCCCAGAAAATCAGTCCTGGGCCAACAAAGCCATCCTGGGCCAGTGACTTCTGTGTCCTTTCATGGAAAATAGGAAGGGTGAATTTTTATAAAGTTTATTGTGGGTTCATAGGTGAGAGCTTAAGAGAAGGAATTTAGCAGCACTCCTGTGTAACAAGAGCAGGTCCCAAGAAAAGGGTTGCCACTGAGGGTCACAGGCTAGGGGGTAACAAGGCTTTTCTGGGTTGAGGTGGGGGGTGAGCTGGTCCACTCCCAAGGTGTCCATGTCCCTTTCCTTCCCAGGTGTCTGGACTGAGTTTCAGTCACATCTTCTGGGCAGCTGCGTAAAAGGAGAAGAAAGATAAGAAGAAAGCAGACCAGGAACCAGAGCCCCCAAATGCAGGCCAGGATAGAACCAAGGACATTTCTGGCTTCTGAGCAAAGACAGGAATTAGAAGTCCCTGTCCCAATACTGCCTGGCAGGGTTCTATCTCCTCTCCTCATTGTTTTCCTGTGGTTTAATGTAGTTATATAATCTGTGCTGTGCTGTCTCCTCCAAGACCATCGTAATGGTATTAATAGAACCTTTAAGAGGTGATTTAGATTCATGAATGGATCAATATTATTGCCAAGGGTCAGTAGCCTTGATACATTCTTCATAAAAGCCCATGCTCTCTGTGTTTCCCCTTCTCTTCTGACCTCTGCCTTGCCAAGGAATGGCATAGCCCAGAGGTCCTGCTGCAGATGTAGGTACCTTAGCACAGAACTTTCCAGCCTCTGGGACTGCCAGAAATAGACTTTTCCTTGTAAATTGCCAGGTCCCAGATATCTTTACAGCAATAGAGAATGGGCTGAGGTGCTTTGTAATCCACACTTGGGATACTTTCCAGAGGCAACAAAGGGCTCTGCTACTAACTATACTGGGGCAAAGGTAAACCAGGCTATCCCAAGTAACCTGGGAGGTAAGGTCACCCCACAGATGACAAACAGATGAATTGTGTCTGATCTTTTGCCCAGGACTGTGCTGTAATTGTTAGCCTGCATCTCTCTGAATAAGTTTAGGTGCAAAGTACTTGGTGGGTCAAAGGGCCGGTGCATCCCCTCTCCCCCAGGAAACTGACAACCTATCTCTGCAGGAATGGATTCTAGTGTGTCTCCCCTGCTTTGCCCACGCTGAGCTAGTCAGCACCCCTTGGGATTTGCACCAGTCTGATTGATTGGTGGGGTAGAGCCTGGATTTGTTTTCATTTGCATTTTGTTATAAGTAGGGCTGTTTGCTTTACAATTCTACTCCTATTTCCTCTTCAGTGAATTGTGAATTGCCTCCTTTTAACCTTTGCCATGGTTCTTAGCACTGAGAAGGCTAGCCCTGGGGCTCTTTGCTTCTTAGACACCTAGTCTGTGATTTGAGATGCAAATGTTTCCCTGACTTCCCCTTCTCTTGGCCAGTGGTAGTTGGGTGATTTTGCCATGCAGGGTTTTGGTTTATTTTGTTTCATTTATCTTTTGTTTTATGGCTTTGTATGTTAAGTCAAAGTTAGAAAACTCATTTCAAGGTTGGAGCACAGTCAGGACTTTCTTCTGGAATGTTCATTGTTCTAGTTTAACATTCGTTTGGGATTCATTCTCCTACAGATTTATATACTTCGTTTTCTGTCTTGGAACTTATATAGACCAGGCTGGCCTTGAACTCTCAGAGATACAACCTCCTCTGCCTCCCAAGTGCTAGGATTAAAGGTGTGCACCCCCACACCCAGCTGAGATTTATATACTTTTTAAAAAAGAATTATTTTATTCTTAAAATTATGTGTATGTGTGTCTGAGTGTGAGTACCAATGAGGCCATACCATCAGATCTTATTGGAATTGGAATTACAGGTGGTTGTGAGCTACCTTACAAGGGTACTGGGAACCAAACCTGGGGTCCTCTATGAGAGCAATATTATGCTCTTAACCACTGAGCCTTCTGTCCACCCCACTCCACCTCTTTTTTTTGAGACAAGGCTCACTGTGTAGCCCAGGCTGGCCTGGAACTCACAGAGATCCACCTGCCTTTGCCTCCCAAGTGCTGGGGTTAAAGACATGTATCACCATGCCCTGATGATTGATATACATTTTTAATAAGTATACTTACTTTTTCCCATAAGAATGCAAGCCTATCATTAAAAAGTCAAATAGGTTTTTTTTGTTTGTTTGTTTTGTTTTTTGGTCGTTTTGAGACCCTGTTACCCCAGCTGGCCTTGAACTCACAGAGATCCACCTGCCTCTGCTTCCAGAGTACTAAAATTAAAGACATGTACTACCACACCAGGCTAAAAATATCAAACAGTTCTTAAGTTTTGTATCCAAGGCAATAGTTTCCTAGCCTGTTGGTTACAATTTCCTCTGAGATAAAACCTTCCATCCTGCAGGGAAGCTCCTTAAGCTCAGGAAGTGAACAATTCAAAGCCTTCAGGAAGTCCCTGAAACTGATCAGATTCACTAGGTCCCTCCCTCTGTAAGCATATATAAACATTAAAGACTGCTGAGAGACACTCATAGACAAGCAGAGCCCACAAGTGTCCCACTTGTGGAGCTGGCTGCAGGTTGTACAGTGAGCTCCAGGCTTATTGCCTTCATGAGCTGTCACACATGCTGGGGTGACTTTGGTGATGGAACTGTCTCTGAGTCATTTCTGGTCCTGTAAATAACCCCAATAAAACTCATTGAGTCACCAATTGGACTTTGGTACTGTCCTTACTTGGTCTGTCATTACTTCCCTGCCTGGGTTGAGTAGACATTTGTTCATGTCTCTCTGGGAAGAGTGTTTTTTGGAAGTTTCTTTTGATATTTATCTCTCATTTTATAACTAGAACTCTTACAATTTTGTTGGTTAATGTTACTGGTTTCAAGCATAAACTGTGGTTATGCTGCATGAGAACGCCTTCCTTCAAACTGAGAGAATCACATAGGCAGGTGAGGCTCCATAAGGTAGAGCATATGCTTTGCATGCTGGTACCCTGGGTTCCATCCCAGAATCCCAAACAAAGGCAAACATGGGAACTCTGTCAGGATTTACATGATTGTTCACTGTATGCTTACTAGGATTTGACTGTGTTCTGTTTTGCTCTGCATATTCAAATAATTAATGTGAGTTAGTAATTGTGACCCCTTTTCAAAATGTGTAAAGACTAGACAGGCCTGGCATGGAGGCATGTACCTTTAATTCTAGCATTCAGGAGGCAGAGGCAGGCAGATCTCTGTGAGATCGAGGCCAGCCTGGTCTACATAGTGAGTTCCAGAACAGCTATGCTATAGGGAGACCCTGTCTCAAAAAAAAACCGCCCCCATCGGGGCTGGAGAGATGGCTCAGCAGTTAAGAACACTGGTTGTTCTTACAGAAGACCTGGGTTTGAATCCCAGCACCCACATGGCAGCTAACAACTGTCAGTAACTCCAGTTCCAGGGGATCCGACAGCCTCTTCTGTCCTCTGTGGGCATTGCATGACATGGGTGCACTTACCTACATGCAGGCAATACACACATACACATAAAAATAAAATAAAATAAAAATTAAAAAAAAAACAAACCCAAAACAGCTGCCTTTAGTCCCAGCAGTTGGGAGACAGGCAGGCCAGAATGGTCGATATAGTGAGCTCCAGGCCAGCTGGGGCTGCACTTAGACCCTGTCTCAGAAAGACCAAAACAAAATAAAACAAACAAACAAACAAACAAACAAACAAACAAAAAACTAGACAGATTTGGGAATAGGGCATGAGATGGCAGACATTCTTTATCTTTTCTTTAAAGTATTATTACATTCTTATGTACTCTGTGTGTGTGTGTGTGTGTGTGTGTGTGCGCGCGCACATGTGTGTCTGTGTGTCTGTGGTTCCCAAACTCTCAGAAAGCTGCTGCGATAGGGGAATCACTTGAGCCAAGAGCTTAAGGCCAGCTTGACCAATATAGTGAAACTTTCTCAAAATGAAGCAAAGAAAGGAGTCTGCCTGGTACCATGCACATCCACAGTCTCTTTCCTCATGGCTGGAGGCAACATGAGTGTCCAAAGTGTGGCATGGTAGATAAAGCACGGTCTGTCCACTCCATGGAGTCCTGCTTCAAATGATGGGCATCATCAACATGCTTCGAAATGGGTGAATCATTATGATGATGAAACAAGCCAGGCAGGGAAGCACAAATCCTATGATTCCCCTCCTGCCAGGCTCCCCAGGTCAGTCGGACACAGCACTTAGAGTGGGACTGCCAGGGCTAGAGGCAGGGGGAGCCGACAGCTAATGTTTAATTGGACAAAGTTGCAGTTTTGCAAGATGTAGAGAGTTCTGGAGGAGGGTGTTGGTAACCTCTGTGTGACAGTGTAAATGTACTTCTTGCCACCAAACTGTACACTTAAACGATTAAAATGAGCAGCTGGGAATGGAGCTCAGCCACAGAGTGCATGGTTAGCACAAATAAGGCCCCGAGTCAACTCAGCACAGAAAAGAAAATTTGAGAGGGAGAAAAACAAAATGTTAAGCTGAAGAAACTGAGTCTGTCCTTTGGCCTCATGACCACACAGTCTATACAAGGTTGGAGAATTGTCCTGACCCCAATGGTGCCTAGGAGCCCTGTAGGCAGGGATGAATAGAGCAAGCATCCAGGAGACCCAGCGTGCTCCACTGTGCCTCCTCTCCTGCAGTGTAGGGTCTAACCCAGGGCAATGTGCACCCCCAGGGTGGTGATTTGTTGTTGTGGGGTCTGTTGGCATTGCTGGAGCTCCAGCCTGCAACACTCTACAATGTTCCCAGCTGCAGGCTCAGTCACTATGGTTATTTTCCCAACCTCAGTCTCCAGCACCAGATCTCAAAACTATCATTAGAATGCCCAGATTTCTCCATTTAGAGCAAACTGTCTACTAACTTCCATAATTCTACCTGAGTGTGTCTGTTCAGCACAGTCGACCTGATGTGCTTGTTTTGAATTTGACAGGGTCAAAGTTCGGTAAAAGAAATCTGAGGAAAGTTGGATTGAGAATAAGGCAGGAAGAGGCACTGTACAGATGCCAAAGCTGACCAGAAAGAGTTTTCAAAGTCCACTATCAAGATGTGGAAACAGAGAAAAAGTAACTGAAGAGTAACTGAACAGAGGTGGAGATGCTGGGCTGCACCTCAGGCTTGAAATCTGACCTAGGAGGCATGTGTGGCATCCCAGGGCTGTGCCACAGTGTGTATGGGAAGAGACAAGGAAAATTCAGTTCTTCCTCTCAGGTTAAGACCCAAAACACAAAAGCCATAAACAGATGTGAGGTCAGCTAAACCAATGCTGTAACTCCAGCTCCAGGGGATCTGACGCCCTCTTCCGCCCC